GGATACCCTCCTGGTGAGCGTGGAATGTGAATCCAGCTCATCGGGAGGTTTTCCTCCCGATGAGCTTACACATTCCAGCTCATCAGGAGGGTTTCCTCCGATGAGCTGGACAGTATACCAGCTCATCGGGAGGAAAACCTCTCGATGAGCTGGTACACATTCCACCTCACCAGGAGGGTTTCCTCCCGATGAGCTGGACAGTATACCAGCTCATCGGGAGGAAAACCTCTCGATGAGCTGGTACACATTCCAGCTCATCGGGAGGAAAACCTCTCGATGAGCTGGTACACATTCCAGCTCATTGGGAGGAAACCCTTGAGTGAATATAGGCAAATATGTAGCTGTCAGTTGAACTTCCTACTTTCAGGAAAAGCAGGCGAGAAAAACCTTGTGCCGATAGTTTCGGTCTCCTCACAATCGAAGCGGCCAGCCATTCATCTAGCCACCGACCACCTATTTATTGCTTTTTTGTTTTGCATTTGTACTCATTTTTCGCCTCTCTCGATCTCAAATATTGCTTGAGAAAAAGATTCTAAACCCAAAAACCCCACACTTGCACTTCGACTAAAATTTGAATCGCACCATGCGCAATCTTAAAAAATTATTTCTTAGTTTATCGCATATCCTTCTTGCGTTTTGCCGTGAGGACAGCAAGCCTTTGAACGCGAACAGCTCGAGCCCAGGCGAAGATCAGGGATCGAACCTACCAACATCACCTTATGCTCCTCCCAATGAGCTGGAATGTGTACCAGCTCATCGGGAGGAAACTCTCCTGATGAGCTGGAGCAAGGTCCGCTGGCGTGTTCCTGCACACGCCAGCCAACAGGGTTTGGACCCTGTGGATCCCTGGCGTGTGCAGGGACACGAGAGGATCCGCAAGGCGTGTGCACCCACACGCCAAAAAAAATTGGTGTGTGGGCGTGCGTGTGCGAGGGGGGAGGGCGTGTCGTTATCAAGCCCCGTACCTCGCCGGCTGGAAGGGTCTCCTTCCAGCCGGCCATTTCCCCTTCCGGCCACGGGTATCCTTTGGGATACCCGGATACCCGCCAACTTTTAGCGGAAAAGGGGCCATCCGCACCCGAATCCACACCCGTTGGCGGGTATCCGTTGGCACTGGCGGGTATCCGCCAGCGGATAGCGGGTATCCGCAACGGATACCCTTTGACCATCTCTAATCATTGGTTTGAAACCAAAGAACAAGCAGAGCTGGCTGAGCTGGGTATATGAGCTGGGTGAGCTGAGTGAGCTGGGTAAAAAGCAGTCTTGCCAATTTTTTTTAATAAAAAAAAACAGCCCTCACCAACCTAAACCCTAAACCTAAACACCTAAAACCTAACCCTAAAACCTAACCCTAAACCCCTAAAACCTAACCCTAAACCCTAAACCTAAACCCTAAAACCTAACCCTAAACCCTAAACCTAACCCCCAAAACGGGGGTTGATAACTGCAAGCCAACCCCCCACGCGCACACCAATCTGCACGCCAGCTGCAGATTGTCGTGCGTGCCTGCACGCCATTGCAGAATGGGATGAACAAAGCTGCTCTACCCTGATGACCAACTGTGCCTGTCCTGGGCTAACCCTAACCCTAACCCCCTGACCGCTTAATGCTCTAAACCTAACCCTAACCCCAAAAACCTGCCCCCTAACCCCAAAAGCCTGCCCCCTAACCCCCGTCAGGGGATGGGGCCAGTGGGAAGTGAACCCACAACCTGCTGGATGGTCAGATCTTAGGGCCAGTGGAAACCGCTGAGCTACAGAGACTTTGTCTCTGCCAGTGTTTTTGGAAATCTAGTCAGCTGGGGGACCCAGCTCCAGGCAGCTCACCCAGCTCTGGCAGCTCTTCGGTTCCAAACCAAAGATAATGGCACCATTTTCTTCGGTTTGGAACCGAAGAATTTGAGTGACACAGGTGGAGTCATTTAAAACCAGACATTGAATTTTTAAATATGGAAACTCACTTTGTCGCTTTTAAGTAAGTTTTCACTTGACTACCTCTGCTCACTTATCACTCTACTCACGCACCTGCCACTCTCCTGGCTTGCAAAAACACTTCATTTGACTAATCAGAGCACTGATGAGGCAAGAAAAATGTCCAAAAAAATAATTTAAATATCTCAAATGGCCTCCAAAGGCTTTAATTTTCACCACCTGGGGCTTTGGTGGTACCACTTGAGGTGCCACCCCAGGTTGTGGCTTTTGGGTGCCACTCTTACATGGGTTTTTGCAACTGCCAAACAGAGGCCCACAATAGTTGAGTCAAGACTAAGGTGGGATACTGGAACTGAAAACACCCTCCCACATTCAAACCCTACTCCAGGAGTCCAGATTAGCAGACAGTACAAGTGCGAGCCCCAAAGAGGCAGCACTGCCTTCTGGACAGAGGGCAATGAAATGTGTCAGCTTGAACATGACTGCTTATCAGTATCATTTGTGAGACTTGTTTCTGTTTCTGGTAAGATAAGATGTTTTCTTTCTAGACAGTTTCATTCTGTGTACATTGTATTGCATTTTTGGTGATAGTCCCCACACCCTCAGTTTTGTGTGCTGAGTCCTGACAAATCTCCTTGAAACCCAGCTATTTCCAGCTTCATTGACATGTCCAAGAATATGTAAGCTGTCAACAATGAAAGAGCACACTAGAGGAGGTGAAAGGGTGTACCTTGTCATGGGGAAAGATGTTTCAATCCCAGAGAAAAAAATGTGGGGAATAAGATATAAGCAGGACATTGTGTTCACTAATTCTGAATCTGAACCAATCTGAGAAAACTTCCCCAAAACATTTTTTTGCTTGTGTATCAAGATGTTTTCTCAATCAATGATTTTGATCATTTGCATTATCTCAGAAATCTTTTGTGGACATCAAAACCCATTGAAAACTGCCATAGACAGTAGTACTCCTCTCCTCATCAAGGGTACAGCTAATTTTTCTCAAATTTACTATTAATACCACATCAATGCTCATGATGCTGATTTTTGCTTCCATTTTTCACCTCATTTATTTTTGCATCATAATCAATAGAAAAGTTGATTCCTCAGGGAGGACCAGCTATTGGAGTACCTACCACACCAGCTGAATTTCAGAAATTTGATAGATTTTCTAGTGGGATACATATTTCTTTTTCTTCAAACTTATTCCATATGAATCTGAGTTGACTCTAAAAGAGGTTTTCCCTCCTCCCTTTAAAAATTTCTTCTTCACTTTGTTTCCCAAACCAAATTCTGGATAAAGATGGCATAATTCCTTTGAATATGCCATTTCCTGAAGATGAAGCAACAGTTTCTTCATTGGTAACTAAAGTTCATCTCTGTGGAAAAGGTAAAACCTCAAAGTATAGAAAAAGCAAGAGTTTTGAAGAGTTGAAGAATCTTTGCCCTGTGGTACAGAACCTGGATGATGAAAAAAGTCTGGCAAACATTTGAACATTTTTACTTTTTTTTATATTTGGTGAAAGGTGTGATACTGATGATTTCCATAAAATATTAATTTCAGCTTCAGAGATAAAAAGAAACTGGGAAAAGAATAAAAGTGAACTTTCATTTTAACTCTTCAATTAAGTGACATTGATGGACTAAGGATTTGTTATTTGATTGATCCAGAAAAAGTTTTCCTGCTTAATTTCTATTTGAATGAAATTGAGATTAGCTCTCAAGATGCAAAAAAATCTTTCAAGAAATACAAGCCTGGAAAAGAGTACAAAACATTAAACTTGAAGGAACTTCAATTGATTCAAAAAACTGAAGATCAAATTTTCATACTGAAGCAGTTGGTAATGTTGAATCTAGGAGATTTTGAAATTGAATCAAACAGTCATAATTTTCAAAAAACTAAACCCAAAACCTCTGGTAAAGTTTCCAAACCAGATCACTGGTTTGAAAAATTTCCACCTCAACTCTTCCCATCAATCAATTCCAAAACATGGAATGAATTCTTTGATTCATACTTCAATCAGGTCAAGAAAGCAATAAATGAGAATAAATTTGACTTATATGCTAAAATGAGCAAGGGTTTTGTTTCAAATGAATCAATTAAGGCATTTGAATACATATTCAAATCAATTGCATTCATGTTTGAAAGGAAGTTCATCACAAGAGAAAGGATCATCAACCTCTTTCAAGATGACCATATTCTCAAGATATCTAGCCTGTATGCTTACTATGGAAACAAGAAAGAACTACCAAAATCTATAGGCTTGATTCCAACAAATTATACTGGACAATGGTACTGGAAATTTGGTTTTAAATTCTTCCAGGGTAAGTTTTTACAGCTTGTTACTTCTTGTCTCCATTATTTTTTCATTACTTTTAGCCATATATACTTATCTGAATTTGATTCAAAAAAATAAATTCCAGTCCTCAGCCCACAAGATGATTTGAGAATCAATTTTGAGTTGATGATTGGAAATTTCTACTTGGAGGGACTTAAATTCAAAGGATTCCATGATTGTACTGAGTTTTATGAATCATTTTCAAGGGATAAGTATTACCAAATTTTCAAACAAGGAAATTCAGCCCCAAAAACTAGTCATAAATTTATTACAAACAAACATGGGAAATCAGAATTCCAAGGTGATGTTGATAAGCTCATAGGAATTCTGCTCAAAACATTCAATGAAACTAAAAAGATGAGAAGACTAGCTCCTCATATTTGTGAAATTTTGGACTTTATTGACAAGAACATTTCTCAAGGTATTGTGGGTGAATCATTTAAAAAACTAGAAGAACCTCAATTGATTTATTTCAAATATCACATGATACTGCTGCCTTCAAGGATCAAATATACAATGGCTGTGGCAAGGAAATTTAATGAAGCTCCCAAGAAGTACAAGAGAATACACAATCCTCAACCAATGTATGAAGAATATCATAAAAGAATTGAGGACCTTTCAAAAGAATTTGCAGAGAAATATTCTGAGCTTTCACATTATCATAATGATATCTTAAAAAGAATGAAAGGTGTTGAAAAAATGAGTCAAATGATTTGCAGTGAGACACAACAGTACTTGAAGATAAGTTCCAAAAGATTAAAGTTGAGTAAGAAATGAGATTTCAAATGAATCTCAATGATCTGCAGATAAATACAGCAAGATCAATTCCAATACACCATATTGATGTAACTGGAGCCCATTTTTCTTTCAAGATCCATATATATATATATATATATAATATATATATATATATATATATATATATATATATATATATATATATATATATATCTTGGTTTTCCTTTCAATTTTTCTCTTCCAATAGAAATCAATGAGTGTGATCAATGTTTTTTTTTTGGATATCAAATTTTAAGCTGCAGTACAAGAAAGAAAAGTTTCAATGCTATTCTAAAGAAATCTTGTTTGGTTAGAACTCCTTTTGTTGGGGTAGTGTGTGTTTAAGCTTTGCATTAGCAGGTCATGTGGCTTCTGGGTTGTGAAAAACAGATTTATCAGAAATGTCAGGCATGGATTTACATTGATTCTCTGAAAGCTCATCTGTGTAAACTCTTGAATTCCTTCTCTATTGCCTTTCCTGTTGAGAGGATTTTTCAAAGGAGACTGAGGCCTCTTTGGCAGCAATATATGGTCTTGCAAGCGTGTCGGGCACATTCCCAAGTCCCGCTTGGCCAAGTGCCACCTGGGGTTTGGAATGTTCCCACAGGGCTTGATCATGCAGGTTGGGTGGGGGGCAGAACTTGGCACTTAGTCAAGTCCTGCTGGTCCTATAGGTGGCTCAGGCGCTCCTGGGCACAAGCCCGGAATCAACTGGTGTGCATCAGCCTTTGAGAGGGATCATACAACTCCCTCTCAAAGACCTGTACAACTACAAACCTAGTGGCCAAGGACGGAAGATACCCATCTCAACACTTGGTATATGGACAGAATCACTTGATGATGGTACAGCTTTGGTCATCAAGGAGAGTGATCAACCAAGTAGTAAACTGGTCATCAAGAAGGGATTCCTTCTCAATGGCCTGCATTTTGGAAGGTGTGGCACCCTTGCTTGATATTGGCCAAGCAAGGATTTGTCCTGACCCCCACCAACTTTAGCATGTGCCAAGGGGAGGTTGGGATGGTTTCACACACGCTTTAGGATTAGCCAAGTGGTCTTTGGTATTGGCCCAGCATGCTTGGCCTTTTTGGGCTTGCAACACCATACATAATAGTGGGCAGTTCATGTTGCAGCAAATTCTTTGCTGGTCTTGAACAAGGTTTGTTTGATGATGCACAAACTTCATGGGATTTAATCATGGGATTTTGAATCCACAGGGAGCCTCCCACCAAACTCTTTTGCTTTCCCATAAACCTTAAAACAATCATTCTAGCAAAGTTCCACTGCTGATGGTCAACATCAGCAGTACGTGAACTGCCCTAATGCAAGTGATGTATGAAATTTTTTGACTGACATCCTATGTGACATCTGATCAGGTCTGCCAAAGCTTGATCAGATGTCACAAGAATTGGAATTATATTGCTTAATTATGTATACAGTCAACTCTGCTGTAACCCATACTCTCCAATAAGCCATAGTAAAATGGCCCACCAAATCACTAATTTTAGTGTAAAACACTCTTCAATAATCCATACTCTCTACTAACCCATAGCAATTTGTGTCCACCAAGGGGCATGGGTTAATGCAGAGTTGACTGTATCCTCTCCAAACAAGACGTGAGATTGAATAGTGTGCAGCTTGCTGGTAAGAGCATCTCCAACACAGTAGGTAAATCCGAGTTGCTAAATGTGTGACTTTAGCGACTTGGATTCACTGTTACAACCCAAGGTGAAGGCTGCTCACCAGTGCTAAATCCTCATGACAGGCCTCCCCAGGTAATATCCTCTGAGCCCATTAAGCCTCCACATTGAAGTGAAATGTTTTGTAGTGTCACGGATTGGAGAGAGGTTTCACACCTCCTGATTTCTAGTTTGAGTTGTAGGGAGTTGCTAGTTGTAGCCACCCTCTAGCTACTTGGGAGATGTTTTTTAAATGCAGCACCCGAGTTAGCAACCGCGGTGGGTGGGTTTTTTGGGAGTTGGGTAGATAAATTGGGTTAATTAGCGACCCAATTTACATGCCTACCGCGGTGGAGACGCTCTAAAGACATATGGAGTATTCGGGGGTCAGTGGTGATGGTGCACGGGTGGCCACAAAATGGGCAAGTCAGTCAAGGATCATGTAGCAGCAACAACCACCAAGACCTCATCACCATGAATTTCATCACTAGGACCACATCCACCGTTCCGATCAAAACACTCGGCCGGTCTGCTGCTCCATTGATCAGGCTCACATCGATCAGGAAGACGAATGGTGAGTCTAACAAAAAAACCAATGAACTTGCGAGTACAAGCTGAAGACTTTTTGGGTTTCGTTTGGCTAGCCCACCTGCGACGATCTTCGCGTTATCATTCGAGCTTTCATTTAACGCCAAACGAGGCACATCCTATTAAGTCGCAAAGGAATCCATGGATTGTCGGATTGGTCTCTTCGATCGCCCTGGCTGCCTTTTCTCTCCATCAATACTCAACTGCACAAGTAGGTTAGTTGTTGTCGGCCCTTCAGGAAATTGATCGCGCTTTGACTTTTTTTACTGACAAGTATTCTGTTCCTCGTGTTGATTTGAAAAGCCTATTCAGAACTCAACTGAAGATAAATTGGTAAGCTTCAGAAAAATCCCATATGTCCCATTAACTCCAAGTCTTTGTTCATTCATTTATCTCATTTTTATATCATATTGGAAAACTGTGGTCAAGAATAGTTGAAGGAAGAGAAAGTGACTCGACGATCGAAAGAGGAGCTGCGGAGGGTGATCGAAGATGAGAAGCTTCCGATGCGGGAGAGAATGCCAGCATATATCGAGCAGCTACAATCGGAGATAGTGGAAGGTCTATCGAGTGTGGATCCGAGCACGAAGTTCCGATGGGACCATTGGGAACGAGCGTCAGGGGGTTCAGGGACGTCGTGTATCTTACAGGAGGGGGCTGTGTTCGAGAAGGCGGGAGTAAACGTGTCGATTGTTCACGGGACTCTCCCTCCGGCGGCGGTGCGACAGATGCGTCATCGACTGGATGAAGACCGGTTCGGCTGGTGGGACGGACAACAGGACTTGCCGTTCTTCGCATGTGGGATCAGTCTCGTCGTCCATCCCTTGAACCCAATGGCCCCGACGGTCCATCTCAACTACCGCTACTTCGAGGTCCTCGACCCTGCCGAAAAGGATCAGCAAAGCTGCTTGGAGCCCAAGGTCTGGTGGTTCGGCGGAGGGACCGACCTGACTCCCTCCTACCTCTTCCAAGAGGACGCTCAACACTTCCATCAACAACTCAAAACTCAATGCGATAAACATAACCCTCGCTTCTATCCTGACTTCAAAGCCTGGTGCGACCGCTACTTCTTCATCCCGCATCGGAACGAACGTCGCGGGATCGGAGGGATCTTCTTCGACGATCTCTCCGGCAATCCTCTAGATCTCTTTAACTTCATCCGCGACTTAGGCGACCATTTCTTGCCCAGTTATTTACCTATCATCGAGCGTCGTCAATGGATGAGATTCTCGGACCACCATAAGCGATGGCAACAACTCCGTCGAGGTCGATATGGTAAAGCATCCTTTCAATTCCTCTCCTCCCAATCACACTCTATCAAAAAAATAATAAAATAACAAAATCTTCCTTTGGTGTCTTGATCTAGTTGAATTTAATCTAGTGTATGACCGAGGGACGAAGTTTGGCTTAGCGACGCCGGGGGCACGGATCGAGAGTATCCTGATGAGTCTGCCGTTGACGAGTCGATGGGAATACATGAGCGAACTAGGGACCGAGGCGGAATCTGCAGAAAAGGAGCTGCTCGAAGTCTTGAAGGAGCCGAAGGAATGGGCTTAGGAAACATCCCCGTTGTGTCCTCGATCATGACTTGACATTTATGAAGGCTTCGTTCTTCTCCCTAGGATGCCAAATAAACTTCTATCTATCCTCTATTACCAGTGCTCATTCTCGAACTCAATCATCTCAAACACGATCTGGAAAATGGCTCTTTGCTTGATGCTATGTGCTTCTCGAATGCGCTTTGCCTATATGTTATACCCCCCCCCCCTGATGAAATACCATCTATACAAAAGTATCGAAACTGCACAATTTTTCTTTGCTCTGAAGTATCAACTAGCGAGAAGAAAAAAGGACTCACTTGAAGTTCTCTATTTTTTTTCCGGAGTCTATAACAACATTTTTTTTTTCGGACATCCAATCGAAGTGATCTAGGATGGCAAACTGAAAGATGATACAGAAACTAACCAGTTCAAAAAATAACTGATCATGATGCTACATAGACAATGATGGGGAGTTTCACGATGCCAGCAACTAAATACAGGTCTCAAATTGTTTGAACGCAAGCTGGAAAAGGTGTGCAGATGCATGCCACAGATGCCCCTTTTTTGAGGCCTGTACAAATGCACATGCCTTCAAATGAGGTGTGCATGAGTGTGCTGCCAACTTGAGTGTTATCACAATATTCCTGATTATTAGCATCATTGATGCCACTTTTTTCAAAAGTGTGTCCCTGTCAGCCAGTGCAAAACAAAGCCACACAAGATGCATGCCTTGGTTGGGGCAGTTGCAGAGCACCTGGGCAAGGCATCTATTAGTATTACATACTTTTGGGCTTTATAAAGTGTTTTTGGCCATTTTGTTTTCTTTCCACATAAGTTCATTGTTAAACTTGAGCAGTTTACCACTAGTATCTATCACTTGCTGTAGCTGAAGAAAATGTGTCCACTACACTGGAGTACCCTGCTTCTTAGCAGATTTTATTGCTAGAAGTAGTGTAGTGTAGTCCCAAAAGCTCTCTGACATGGAGTATTCTCAAGCTTTTTAAGTTAGAGACCTCTTCCAATGGTAAAAATGAAAGAGGGGAATTCATATTTCCCAACCCCAAAGATGGGTGGGGTGAGATTTTTAGGACATGAGGGATTTGAAGAAAGCACAGATAGTAAACAGGGAATAACACCAAGAATTGAAACATAAGTAAACAGGTGTTTATTTCGATGACATGCCAGCAGATAAGTGTTTGTTTGGATGGGAAATACTGTGTATCAATTTGCTAAAAACATTTCTAATCAAACAAGCCACATCCTCTTCAACAGAATGGTAAACCAACTCAGGCTGAAATTTGAGCCAAGGACTGCATCCTTGGGCATACTTTATAGAATCAACTACCACAGCATATTTTGTCTCTTTCTTCCCAGCAACTTCATTCAGAAATTGGATGGCTTTTCCTCCATCTGAACGATTCCCTAGCTCCGAGATTGCTGTATCATAGGATATTGTACGTTTAAGGCAGGCAATTTTGTCTGGGGGATGAAAACCATAAGCTACATCCATGTGATTGTCTTGGAAAATGATCCTCATGTGACGAAAGTCAACACCTAGTACTAGTTGTATGATGCTGAATAATAGCAAAATGAGGGATTTTGAATTCATATCTACTTGAAATTTCTACTGAAAGTTTTCTATTTTTAAAAAGAAGCTATGTTAGTCAAAATTTTCTTTCAAATTACCCAAACACCAGTTGGCATAGTGAAAATTTTCAAACTTAGGAAAAGTTGGAAAATATTATCAAAAAGTACGTGTTAATTTGCTTACCGGCTTATCCCAAAATGAATCACTTGTATCTGCTGCTTTGATAGGCCAATATAAGCTTTGATATTTTTGTTTTGTTAGGATCCTGAACAAGAGTGTGATTGGTCATATTATTTGTGTTGAAACCGTTTCTATGACTGGGAAGGACTAAAATAATCTTGCTAACCAAATTTAAATTACACTTACAAATATTCAACTGAAATTACTCAGTGATTTGAAATTTGTTTTCTCAAGGAAAAGAGCCAATTTTCTTTCCCACTTGATAGAAGTGTGAACCAATGGAAAACTTTGTGGATGAAATGCTAAATCTGATGATAATAGAATAGACAACAATTTATATCCAGATGAGTTATTTTGCACTAAATGGTTGTAAAGGGAGTATATAATAGAAGATGGAAGTATTTAGGAGTGATGATAATTGTGGTAAAGAAAACGTACAACCAAACTACTTGAACAAATAGTTTAATTTGTTTTAGGTAGTAGCTATTCTAATTTGAAGATACAAGAGCTTGAATTTTTCTTTTGAAAAAAATGATGATTTTGTTTTGATTTGGTGAAGAAGTTACCCTCATTATATACACTGGAACACAGGGTGTTGCATTCTGGCTTACTTGGTATGCCAGAAAAATTGCAAGCCAAAATAATGCAACAAAAATCTGTTACATGTTTTGGAATTATGTTGTGCATGTATACCCAAATTTACCAAATTCACAGTTTTAAATTTTATAGATTCAAGTTTTATGCTCTGGCATGCTTATCTAGGTTTATTGAATGATCAGAACTTGTCAATTTAATGGTTCAAAGTTTTCCAATCTAATCTAATCTTCCCAATTCATCATTCTGTATAAAGTTTTAAAGTTTCTGTTGATTGAAGGTTTGTTCTCCACAACTTTTATCTCAGTTTCCACAGTTTGAAATTTCAATATAACCAAGTTTTCAGATTCAAGAATATGATTCCAATTCAGTGGATCTGTGCCAGTCCAACCATGTGAAAGTCTGAGATTGAGATAGTTGATAAAGTTATCTGCCCATGGGAAGATATTTGTCTCAACAAGATACAATCAATCACTAGTCAGCAGTCAAACATGTCATAGTATCTCAGCCCATGGCATTGGCACACAAGGTGCAGCAACCACATAGATTTTGCAGCATTCAAAGTTCATGCTGGTACTGTACTTGTAGCCAGAAGATTCACATTTAATAAAAGTACAATTCACACAAAACATGTCAAACTTTCCAATTTTCACTTTAGAACTCCAGAGCAACCCCACCATGGAGTATAAACCTCATTTAAAACCCAGGATCCAATGAAAAACTTTTCCCATACCTGAGGATGTTGATAGGGAGCCAGATCACTCCAGGCAACATTGAAACCTATACAATACATGTATTTTTGTTTATTTGTATTTGTATTTGTATCTGTTTTCCTCTGAATACATTGCATCTTTATTGTATCAAAAAACAGATACTATACTGTATCTTTTTGTATCTGCCAAAAGAATTTTTGCAAACAGTCCAAATTGGCCAAAAAATTTGTGTTGGTTTTTGGATACAATACAATTGTATCATATCTGATTTGAGATAAAATACACAATACAAATTTTTTGATGTATCAGAAATGAGACATGATACAAAAGTATCTGAAGATACTGTATCATATTGTATCTGTTTCACTGTTGCTCCAGGGTGTGAAAAAAACATCCAAGCAGTTGTTGATATGGCTCCCCTCCACACCATTGTATGTACATCTTGTGAGCCAGCACTTTGTTGTATGAAACCTTTGACAATCAACCAATCCATCACCCAATTCATCTTTGCACCCACATACATTTTACATCCCACAGTACTTTACTTGCTTCAGGTGTACCCAAGATTGGGGTCATCACAGAAGCCTTACACTCACATGTTACACTTCCAAGTGGAGTTGCTCTCCCTGTGAAATGCAATCTTGTGAGACCCATGCTAGATGTAGAGGGGCTCATAGTTGCAGTGAGTGACTAAAGAATCTATGGCCACAATAATCCCAAGTCAGCTTGGCTGCAAATCTAGTCCTTAGTTTAAGAACAACATGTAGACAATGTGTAGCCTGAAATACTAATGTCAATGATACCATCCCAATGAATTGGGCATTATCACTAGCAATGACACAGGCTACTTCCTGGCCACTAGGAACAACGCTGGGCCGCTACGCTACGCTACGCTAAAGGGCCACTTAGCGTTAGCGTAGCGGCGCTAAAACGGGCCCTTTTTTCTGTAGTGTTAGCGTGCCGCTACCGCCGCTACGCTACGCTACGCTGAAGCCCCGCTAACAGGCGGCTTGCTTCTGGGTAGTGTTAGCGCATCGCTACAGCCGCTACGCTGCGTTACGCTGCGCTACAGCGCTTTTAGCGGCAAAAAAGGCAAAAAACCCGCTAAAAAGCGCTGTAGCGCGGCGTAGCGGGCACTTTTTTGTGCCCTGAGCGCGTAGCGTTAGCGCAATTCCAAATTTCTGCGCTAACGCTACGCTAACAGCTAACGCACTTCTGTGCCCTTTGCGCGTAGCGTTAGCGCAGAAAGGCGGATTTTTCGCTAACGCTACGCTACAAAGTAGCGCATTTCCGCTGCGCTACGCCACGCTAACGCTACGGTTAGCGTAGCTGGCCCAGCGTTGCTAGGAAGCATATGTTCCTGATCTGTTACTATGGTGTCACTTCAGGCTTTGTGATCATGTTCAGTGCAGGATGATGCTCCGAGTTTTTGCAGCAATTTCTTCAGCAGACTTAGAATTGCACATCCCACAAGCTAAAAGCACCCCCAAAAAAATGTATGAACCAAAAAGGCTTTGATCTTTTGATTATGTTTTTGACAAATTGGTTGAAGTGAAGAAAGTACAGCATCCAAAGCAAGACAATAACGAAAAGAACAAAAAAGAGAAAGAGAGAAAGGGATCACAACATTTTACTGACATAAGGGCCGTCGAGCTTGTATCCCAAACGCGCATACCAATGCCGAACACCCACGCCAGAAATCACAGCTAGTTTCAGACTACCATGTTCTTCTCTTGCGATCCTCTCAGCTTCTTCCATCAATAGAGTTCCAAACCCTTGATGTTGAAACTAATCAAATTTTTAAGAACATAAGAAAAAAGAGGATATAAATGAAAAAGGAGCCTTATTTGTTCAGGTGAAAAGGGAAATTTAGACTGACTTTGGTAGGGTCACGACTGTGCAAAGGGATAGCGGTGCCATAGACGTGAAGTTCACGGACGATAGAGGTGGGACCATCTTCGAGTAACTCCTTACGAAAGGTGCCTTCAGGGGAGCATTTTCTGAGTCTGAGCAGAC